ATGATTTAGCCGGCTAGATTTGACCTAAGCTACGGAAGCACTATAATTTGTTGAATCGTGGATGGGCTTAGGCTCATATAAGACACTAATCCTTGATTAATCTTAAGACCCATGTATGAGATGGTAGGTAGTGGTAAGTTTAGTCTCACCTTGCTAGTTGAGGAGAGTTGAGACCCCTTTATAAGGGCTGCTCTACCACTTGCCATTGAAAGTTTGGAAAAAGGAGTGGTATACGCGTGCGCCGCGGGTTGCGGGAATGAGACGAAGCTTATTTTTACCGCTCAGAAATAAATTAATTAATCAATGAGTCGCTAACATGTGAGCCACTGTCCAAGACGTTGGACTGTGGGCTGACTTGCGTTGCCGGGATTCGTCGACTCCCTTGTCGGGACCCGCGTATTCGTCGACTCCCTTGCCGGGAACAACGACTCCCTTGCCGGGAGTGGGCCGACTCGGTCGTGGGCCTCGGCAAGACCTACGACTTTCTTCCATACGGACTATATAAGAAGGCTCTGGCCAGTGAAGTAACCTAGTTCGGTTCACTCACTCCCTATCGCGTGACCTAGCCGTCATCTACTGTTCCTCACTCTGTGCTGCCTCCGGCGATCACATCCCGACAACCGCGTGCACGGCTGGTCGGGAGAGCAGGTGCCTCCGGAACCCTGTCATTCGAGATCCTGCCCGGGAGAACGGCAATAAGGTTTTTAGGGAGCGTCTCGACGCGACTGCTCCCGATCCGTCCCCAACTCTGTCCGCCTCTGCTTCCACTACTTCCTCTGCATCAACACCATGGCCGACGACGCCGCCGCTAAGAAGAAGGCCACGGACGACGCCGAGGCTGCTGCTGCAGCCGCCGCGTTGGCCTGGCCAACCGGAGGGTATGATCTGTTTATCCCTCATTTACTCACACTTATGCTAGCCGTATATGTGCTGCTCATAGAAGGTTCGATTATATGTTCTGCACGTGCTAATATGCTTAGGTATCGCTATGAGATGCATACCTTCTGTGCCATGCTTACTGTTTACTCGTGGATAAGTCTAATCGGAAAAGTGCTAATATTTCCAACATAGTTGGTGATCTTCCCCCAACTAAAAGCTACTATATTTTATGGTTGGATGACCAACTGTTGCATCAATATCTCCGAACTGGTCCACCAGTCTGTGGATGGATGGGGAGTAAATTTGCGTGTTAATATTGAAGATGCCCTTAGATGCAGAGGCAGTAATATGTGACTGTTTTTTATATGAACTGTGTCCACGGGAATCTAGCTTTACAAAACAGGGGGTATCGGTGGACGCCAGAAACACTATGTGTACGAGTTCGACGTTAACAATTAGTCTACACGCATCAAAAAAAAAACAATTAGTCTACAGTTGTATGCGTTTGGACCAGCTAACCCTACGGCTGGAGACGGTGCAGAGGCAGTGAGATCTGCATATGCATTAGTACAGGAGCTAAAGGCTTTGGCCAGCGCGTTACTAGTACAGCCACAGTGAAGCCATGTGTTAGTACAGGAGCCACAGTGAAGCTATGTGTTAGTACAGGACTAGCATACGATCAGACCTGCAGATGCGATCGTACGATCCGACCATTTGGACTCTTGGATGGAAAATGAGCCGTCCAGATGTAGCAACGCGGTCCACTAGTGAACATTTTACGCAAAACCCCATTTTTTCCATTTCTCAATGCGGCACCAAGTCCCTCTCATCCCACGTGTGTATCCACCTGGGACAGTAAAAATCCTCTTCCATTCTTTCTTTCTCTCAGATTACAATTCCAAACGTTCGTCGTTGCTATCTCCGACGATGGTGAGCTCACTCATTGTTTGGACTACTTCTTTGTAATCTGAGAGAAAGAAAGAATGGAAAAGGATTTTTACTATCCCGGGTGGATACACACGTGAGATGAGAGGGACTTGGTGCGACATTGAGAAATGGAAAAAATGGGGTGTTGTGCAAAATGTTCACTAGTGGACGGTGTTGCTACGTCTGGACAGCTCATTTTCCATCCAAAAGTCCAAATGGTTGGATCGTAGATCGCATCTGCAGGTCTGATCGTATACTAGTCCTCCCCAGCTAAAGGCTTTGGCCAGCATGTGGAGCAGGGTCCATAACTTCACGGATGGCTTGCATGCAGGATGGACCAGCTTGGTGTCATTCATTCGTCTGGTAGCATATGTGAATGTGATTTAGGTGACTACAGTTAATTCTAGGCTACAACCAATGGGAATGCACACATTTGTTCAGTACGGATTGGTAAAATTTTAAAGTGACCGCTTTGTGAATTACGGAAAACAAAGTGTTTCTCATTGTCTCTGCTTGACTAAGTCGGTTTGCGGCGTCGTTAGCCTCCTTGAACACGTTGTTGTGAGGCCTTGTTCCAAGTCTTCAACCCTTTACCGCGAAACAGCAGGAAATATGCCATGTAGCAGGCCACGGGTCCAGATATTAGACCAGTTATAGATCCATGGTACCGTAAATAGAGTCAATGTTGAGGTGGCAAATGTTTCGGGGGGGCAGGACCAATATCTTTTTTCATAACATCCAGTGTGGTATAGTGTCCTTGCCAGCTAGGGAAAATATTGTATTCTTTCTCTTCCTACCACTAGCAATATCGAAGCCAAGCAAGTTCCTCTTCAGTCAGTAAAACTATTATGTAGTCCAACATCAATGTGAACTTTTCTATCATACGATCTAGGAGGTAAAGGACGGTCTCTTCCTGTTCGTCTAAAGCATCAAACTTTCCGTTAACACTAGGCTACAACCAACAGGAATGCATGCATCTACTAAACATGCATCTATGGCTAACCATTATATGGGTGGTCTATTTTATGGATGCTATATAGTGTGCAATAGAGCTAGCAGCTAGTTTAATTATTAGCAAAGTTTTAAATAGCGGGCTATGCCATATAGCGGCGGCTCCACGAGCAGCTATGAAAAGCTATAGCCAAGCTATAGAGAAGCTAGCCCCATTTATAGTTTTTCTTAAATCATGAACTTTAAAAAATACATGATCCGGCATCATATATTAAATATCACATATATTTGATACACAGATGTTCGGACATGAAAAAGACCAATAACGGATCATACATCCTAACTTGATAATTAACCTTTGCATCAATACATCATATCTCTGCCTAATAATAAAGCAGCGATTGTTTCTGGTCGTCCGTCATGTTTGTTTTCAGAAAACCCCCTGTCTTTTCCGATAATTAACCCGCGGTCCAGATTGAAGTTAGAAAGAACCGTTTTTTAGTTTACATAAAACCCCCTGGATTTTATGCTAATTAACCCACGGTGCAGATTTAAGTCACAACGAATCGATTTTTCAGTTTGACATAAAAGCTCGTGATATCTACGGAAATCACCCCATAGGCTATTAAAAATAAATGCATATACTCAAATAACCATATCTTTTAAACCGTAACTCCGATTTTAACATGTTATATATGGAATTTGATTAAGACAATATGTAGAATTTGAATATGATGTTATCTAACATGTTAAATGTTTTTAAAATGATATTTATGATACAGTGTTAATCAATGGCGCATGATCCGTCTTTATTTCGTACCGACGCGGAACCATATTGCAACATGTAAAATTGAACGTTAATAACTGGGAAAGATTATAATCCTTGGGCATGTTGTACTTGCACCAGATTCTCTTTTTGAATATATTTCATGAGATAAGACCTTACGTATGTACATTTTTCTGCAAAATCCACGTGCGTACTTACCATCGGACTATACTTTTTCTATAGTGAATACACAAACAATTTTTATAAGATGTACATACATTTATCAAATTCATGAACATCAGAAGTACATGAATGTTTATTTTTTAAAATATCCAAACTATTTGTGTGATAGTGATGCACATTCATAGTGGAACCGATAAATACAATTTTAATTTGTGTTCCATCTGTTGCATGTGATGATTATACATGTAGGCTTTCTTGAATAAAACTTAATTTATAGACCCTGCCTTCTTAGTGTCAAACAACACCACAAAGGTGCTGCCTGAGTGTGGTTGTAGGTGCTTGCCATCAATATGACGAGTCAGAATCAAAATTGAGCTGAACTGATAGCGGCTTAGATAAATCTTTTTACTCCCCGTTGCAACGCACGTGCACATTTGCTAGTATATCCAAAACAAGAAGGGTGAGTAGGGCAGATGGATGACTTTGTAGAATTCACTTGTGTCCCCCGCAGGCTGCAGCGGCTTGGTGGCGCTAAATGACTCCAAATTTAGTGGTAAACTAAGATTTAGTGAGCTATTAGCTTCATTTTTAGTTAGCGAGAGTGCTGTTCAAATTCTGAGCAGTGGCGACTAAATAAATTAATGTACAATGTCTCGTTAATAGCATGCTATAGCGTGGTAGAGCGTGCTAATAACGTATTTTAAGGGCCATGCTATTTTGTCCTAGCACGCTATTTTTTTCATTTGTTTTAGTTGAGCCATGTGTACTCACCGAGAAAATTAAACTCGTTCTTGATTTACATACCATACTAGCCCATGCACCAACCGCATGAACTTCATGCAGACTTTTTTTGTCCGTCGGCATATATCACTTGGTGAAATATGTGTTCACGAAATATTTTCTTGGCATGCAACACAGAAACATAAAAGGAGGCCTGACACTTACGCAACACCGACAGAGACTACATAAACTCCAAATGAAGAAGCTGATTTCCTAAAAAAAAGGACTTTCATGTCGGGATGAAGCAACTTGGCAGAATATACTTCAGCAGAACTTGTTGTGTGCATTGGATGAAGTAGAGGGCGTGGCCCGTGGGTGTACTCTCCTTTTCAAGGAGAGAATAAAACTACCGGGCATAATTATTTGTGAACAAAAATACTATCTTATTCGCATCGCTACTTAGTAGGAAGTCGCTTTCTGCAGCACAAAATGATGTCATACACTGCTTACAACTCACAGATTTTACAACAGGTTATCATTGGATGCAAAATGATTACATTTCTGCTTCTGAATCCTAGGCCTCTTGTAGTTGTACCCCAAAGGCCTTACGGATTTCAGCAATGATGTGGCCAGACACATCGGGACCAAACATCCTAGGCAAATTTGCAGTTAGGTCGACCTCGATTGATTTCGATCTTACAGCTTGGTCCCTCTTGATCATGATCTCCCTCTCGGCCTCTTCCATTTCGGAGGTGTCACGAGCACAACTATGAACCCAGATTTGAAGAACCTCCTTCACAGCTGATGCCAGATGACCACACACTATCTCTTCCAAGGTACCCTCCCCTCCTTGCCCGCAGTCGATGGTGACCGACACCGCTGTTGGAGAACATGCGCTGCGCACAAAGAGCGATGGCGACCGGTATGGACGGGTTTGTGGCAATTCTTCGATCTTCTCACGTTGCTTGTCCAAGTGAGTATGTTCATAGTACTTTTGGAGGTACTCCGGGTGGAGCGCGAGGTCTTTCCGTGGGAGCAGATCAAGAATCACAACCATTGAAGTTTGGCTGCCTTGTATGAACTCCATGAGGAAATGTGGTGCATCCGTCAAGGCATTTAGGAAAATAAGGACCGACGTAATGTCAATTGCGCCATTTGGGACTTTGCAGTGAAGTGATGAGTGCAGCATGAAATCAATCTGTAGACAAGAAATTATAACATTTAAAGCGTACAAATTTTTCTCATAACTTGGATTATAGATCTTTGTTTGTATGCTTGTCAAAATGGGGGAAATATAGTGTTTTTCTGAGCTCCTATGTAGGCACACTCGCTATCCGTATTGTCCATCCATGTGCTGAATTTTTGGGATCCACGGAAGTATTTTTTAATAGACCCGTGGGAGTTGTGGTGTAAACTTAGTTGCAGACATGTGTTGTGCAGTCGTGCTATTGGTTGCTAATTTTGGGCTGGCCACAGCACACCAAAATATGTTTTTGCAGTTTAATTTGAATTACAAAAATATCTTATATTTTAGTACAGAGGTAGTAGTTTTCTTTTGAAATGGAAGATGTACCGTCGACCTCTGCATCTGCGCGATGCATGCAGCCATTTTATTAATTATTCATAAAGCCCTTACAAAGTAATACATCAGTAGCTTGAAGCCACTATCTTGGCAACACCTGTCGTTACTCCTATCCCCGTGATGAAGGAGTGCCGAATGTCCGAGCCTAATACCAAACAGATATCGCACCAACACCGAACATCTAATGTCGGATGCCCCATCCAAGCTACAATACCTAGACTAGGTTACACACCGGTTTGGTGCACTTTCAATGGACACTACATGCGCACGCTGCAAGGGCCATCACCTCCTTCATCCATCGATCCATCCTCAGATCAGATACTGACGCATCGACCTTCCAGGCCTCTCTACCATCAACGCCACCACGACTCAAGACAGCGTCGTCCTCCTGCACGAGTCCATCGCCACTCATCGGACGCCGAGTCTCCACTGTGCCACGCCGCCAAAATCCATCACCATCGATGTGTAGGATGAAGCACCGCTCCACCACCTACCAACGCCCAACCACCAAGCCGTCCACACGTCCGTTCAGCTGATGAATGTCTCCACAAATGATGCCCCCGCGGGGGTGACGACTAAGACATCGCCATAATCCAGTCTAGGAGGTCCCTCAACGCCTCCAACTATGGGTACAACGCCCACGGCCGCCGTCGTCAATGGTAGGCTCCTCCAGTTATGAGGTTTCCCCCGGAAACAATGGAGTGAGCGGCGCCCTCACCATCGCCTCCAACGAGGAAAACGACACCCACGGGTGACGCCGCCGATGGTGGCATCCTCACCCACTTCAACAGCTAGGCCACCATCTCCTCCTCCACTTGACCCGGCGCTGGAAAGCCACCGCGAGGCAACACCCATCGACCAGATCCCTTTGGACCGATGATGAAAACAGCCAAAGGTAAACGAGGTCACATTGCTGGGTGACCAGCGCCATTGCCACACACACACGTCGTCTCGAGGCGCCCGCTCAAGATCCACCGTCACAGCCACGCCTCCAAGCCGTGACGGAGGGACGCCCCGCCACCGCC